TTACTTGTTGAAATTGTACTTTCGATTTGATTTGAAACTGTCTCATTGCTATATGTTTATCAATAAAACTTTGAAAAGAAAAAAAACCATATCCATTACTTGCATATATCTCATCACTAATTGCCAGGTGTTGTTTTTGTTCACCCTGGCAAGTGCAAGGGTCTGAGTTCAATCCCTGGCTCCACAAAAAAAAACCTGAAATGGACACAGTCTCTGAAGCATACATATATTTGAATGTTGTGGTGAACATCTATAATCTCCATACTCTGGGAGGCCGCAGTAGGAGGATTGCAAGCTTGAGCCCAGCCTGGGCAATTTAGTACAATCCTATCTCAAAAATAAAAATTAAAAAAAAAATAGCTTGAAATGTAGTTTAGTGCTGAGGCCCTGGCTTCAATCTCATGAATGAAAGAATGAATGAATGAATGAGCTGCGCTTTCATGGAAAGTGCTGGGGACAGGATTTCTACATGAAAATCAATACTCCACTACTTAGTGGAATCCTGAGGTCACAGAGATTTCCAACTATAATTGATTTAGAGTCTTGAATGATGAAAATTTGGTTTTGAGGGTTAGGGAAATAGTTTAGCAGCATATATATCCACGTGGCAAGTTCAAGGTTGCAAGTTCAATCTCTGGTACCACATAAATAAATAAGTAAATGAATAAATGTAATTTAGGTTCTTAAATCCTGATTATCAGAAAATAAAACAACTTTAACTAGACTTTGGGTAAGTTTGAGTCTGTAATTATAATGAGCACTTATCTTCTACAGTGGTATTGTTTATGAACTTAATTTGTTTTACGATTCTGAGGAAGATGGCTGCATTTGTGTTTGTGTGGGAAAGATGGCAGTGGTCACATCTGTGTAGAGTTCGTAAATGAAACTGCAAACAAAAACATTTATGAACCAAGGTGTTACTGGATTTCAAAATTCAATGTATTGGTCAAATATTAACAGTTTACTAAATTAACAGAGAAAAAGCCAGTATAAAAGAAAATATCACCTTAAGTATATAATCTATGTACATCAAACATACAACTTAAGATACCGATACAACCTAAAAACAAGACTATGCCCTGTAGAACAAAGCATAAGCAAAGAAAACATTTATTTGTATAATCATTTTCTCAGAAATGCTAGACTACTTACTTTGCCTCAATGTCAGCCTTCTCTCGTACTGCATGAGCCATCTGTTCAGTCTCAAAGTACTTCTTTTTGCCTTTAGCTAAATCTTTCACTGTCTCTTGTAGCTCAGTTTGGATCTTTGTTAGCTGGTCCACACACTGTAAAATACAAAGATGCAATTATTATAATTTTAGTTTTGAGGATTAAAGAAAAACATTTTGTCCTAGGGACCATGCAATATGCCTTTAGGACAGAAATCCAGAAGAGGAATCAGCACTTTTAGTGTCCTTTGAATTGCAAAGTGAAATCTGGGTGAACAGCTGGTACTTCCATGTGAAATACGACACCAAATAGCGTCACAGTTTGCCTAACAACCATGCTTTGTGAAATAACTACTGCTGATGACTGACATTAAAGTAAAGCATACAAGGAGCAACCCCTGAAAAGACTTGGTGTTGTAGACATTATAGCAATAAATGCAAAAGAATAAATAATTCTGTATTTCATCATCTTAAATATATAATTTTCTTTTTCAATATGAAATGCTTCACAAATTTGTGTGTCATCCTGGTGTAGGCGCCATGCTAATCTTCTCTATTTTGTTCCAATTTTAGTATACGCACTGCTGAAACAAGCACTCACGTATAATTTTCTGTAAGCCCTTTTAAATATTAAACTTCAAGTGTTTTTAAAAGATTATATAGAATGTCATATTAGAAAGTAATATACTCAAGTTTCTGCTCTGTTATTTTCTACCTAAATTTCTTCAACATTTTTTGGCCTCAGTTTCATCATTCATAAAATAATACTGGTGCTACAGAGAAAAGCTCAGCAGTCTAAGTGCCTGCCTAGGCAAACACAAGGACCTGGGTTCGATCCCTGGTACCAAATGCCATGCCAGCCCCATCCTGGGCACACCAAGCCAGCCACCAAGACCAGGCATGGTGGTACACACCTATAATCCCGCTGGGGAGGTTGAAACAGGAGGATCACTACAAATCCAAGCTGTGTAATGAGACCCTATACTAAATACATAGAATTTTTAAAAAAGAAAAAACTTACATAGCTATCAAAGGTGATATGAAAATCAAATGAGACTATAATGGCTGTGGTAGCAGTTTGTGAACTCTAACATGTTATATAACGTTAGTCATGAATGCCCCCACACCACGTATGTGTATGTTGCTATAAATCAAACTCAGGGCTTGGCATTTGATAAGATGTCCTCTAACCCTGACCCATGTATCTACAGGCTCTGATCACAGTTACTTCAAGATAAAGGTGTAAACTCTAGTATCAAGGACAAAGATATAGACAAAGGCTAAGTAAATATAAGAATGACAAAATGCCTTAGATTACTGTAGCTCTTATTTTCAATTTACAAGCCAATGTTCATATAAAGAAAGATCTGGCTGTAGTATTATAATACTCATTATAATCTCTCATATGATTTTAATTATAATATCAGGCCTTTCATAATTGTGATATATCTATATCCTCAAGGATTATGAAAGAAAACAGCCAAAACAGAAAAATTTTAAAAGGACATGAACTGTGCTGGGCATGGTGGCACATACCTGTAACCTCAGCATTCAAGAGGCTGTGAAAGGAGGGCTGTGTTGAGTGCAAGGCCATCCCAAACTGTACAGTAAGACACTGTCTCAGACAGACACATACATAGATGAGATGGACATGAACTTTGCAATGTTATAGAGGCATCATATTAAGTCAAAACTGATTCCAAAAGATGTCAAAATAATCGGATAAAAATTCCTCCCCATAGATAAAAGAGTAAAAGTTGGACACAGCATACATTTAGACTTAACAAACTATGAGATCTAAAAGAAGGGGAGCACACAAAGCCTGACATCCCCCCACCCAGTGCATTCCTTGAATCATGGCACACACACAAAACAAGAGGATACAAACAATATGTGGTATTCTGACTCTACTAAACAGAATGAGAATTTGGGGTTTTGTGATGCCAAGAGAATAGGAACTTGCAAGGCAACGATCCAGAAAGAAGGGTACTACAAAGGAGCAAATTCCAAATTTACTAGTCAAGTTCCTCTGGAGTTATTAGTTGATTTTTAATAGGCATGTACTGGGTGAAACTCCCAAGAAATCCAGCAGGCAATAGTAGGTGAAAGCCTAATGACTAAGCAGAGATTATAGGACCAGAAAAAGTATGTGATACTGAAAAGACAAAGGTTTGATTCAAGTCTTGGCTGAGTAGAAAGGTCACAGTAAGCACCCTCTACTTTTAGGTAAGATTGCAGAAGTAAGTAACTCTAAAAAAGCCAGACATAAACAAGATAAAGATCTAGCACTTTATCTGCCTAAAGTCATCCTTTTTAGAAACATCCTGCAGATCCTCCACGTTTTTCAACTATGATACATAGCACCATGAGGCACACTAAAGTAGACCTAAACAACAAAAAAACACAAAAAGTGGCACACAATAAAAATGGGTACAGTGATCAAGATAGTGAAATTATGGGACAGATTAGGAATAATGTGTTTAAGAGGAAAAAGAAAACCATGGAGAACTGCACCCCAAATATGGAGCATTATTTTTGGTGCCCGGAATTGAACTCAGGACCTTGTGCTGGCCAGGCAGGTGCTTGTGCCACTGAGCTATATTCCTGGCCCCCAAAAGATGAATTTTTAAAAATAGATTACAAATAAAAGAACAGACTATAACTGGAAAATACTCAGATTTTGGAATTCAGAGGAAAAAAAAAGAGTGGTAATATTTAAAAAAGAGGGCTGGGGGATATAGCTCAGTGGCATAAACACCTGTGTGGCAAGCACAAGGTCCCATGTTTGATCCCCAGTACCAAAAACAAAAAAGAAAAAAAAAGTACCAAAGGCATATAAATAGTCAAAAGACTTAACAGCAATAGAAATCATAATAAGAAAGTAAACAGAATTACACTGTTGAAAGATTTTTATATTGTTCATGAGATAGTAAAACACTAATTCAAGACACACTTAAAATTAATTTAGAGATTTGGGAATAGGCTCCTCTTTTTGAAAGAGTTACAATCATCATACCTCAGTGATACCTGTGTTTATAGCAACACAATTTATAATATCTAAATCTTGCAAACAGCATAGAGGCCTATCAACAGAGGAACAGATAAAGAAAATGTGGTATTTATATACAATGAAGCACTATTCTGCCATATAGAAGGAAACCTTGGGGCATATTTGGGTTAATGGATACACAAGATCATAATTTTTTTTTTCATTGAAACAGGGTAGCCTCAAATTCATGGTAATCCTCCTGCCTCAAGATTATAGGTGTGCGCCATCACACTCAGCAAGACCATAGTGTTAAGTGAAGAAACAGACACACACGTTTGAATATTACACTGCTTCTCTTGTGTAAGATACCAAAAGTATGAAAAAGAAGCAAAAAAGGGTATAGATATTAGGAAGGAGGAAGAATTTTTTTTTTTTTAAATGGGAAGGGGTACAAGAAGGGAAAGGGAAACAAGGAAAAAGGGATTTAAAGGAAAGAAAAAAAATTAGCTTTTGAAAGTGGGTAAAGGAAGAAGAATTGGTTGGAGTAGGGGGGAGACAAAAAAATTAAGATGGTTATGCATATACAAATTCGCCATGATAGATGTGATCATTATGTAATTTAAACATAAAATAATAAAAAATTACATATAAAAGATTTGGGGAATAGTAAAAATAATTCAAAGTAATGTAACAAACTAACATTGAAACCTGTAAGGTAATAAAAAATACAGGATTATAAAATTAAACTAATAATGGAAGAAAAATTACCTAACATTACTATCAGGAAAATCATAACCATAATGAAATACCTCACACCTAAAAGGATGCCTATTATTTTAGCCATTCCCCAGCCCCCCAAAACAACAAATATTAGTTAAGTTACAGAGAAACTAGAATCTCCGCAAACTGCTGGTGGGAATGCAAAAACAATGGCATTTTTCACAACAATTCTGGTAGTTTCACAGAAACTTTCACGTCTGTAACTGCTATGTGTGAAATTTACAAATCTGGCACTTTGAGGACCACAACGTAGAGAATGTTGGTAAAGAAGAAAGCCATTGAAGAAAACAGTGCTAATAGACGGAAGAAAAGAAAAGACTGATTTCTAAAACTATCAATGAGCCTCTGGGTCTGCCCATGACTGGAGCTCTGGAAATCAGTCGTATAAGTTAATGTTCTCTCCCTGGCTTTAAGCCAGTTTGAAGTAACTTCCCGCAACTTGCAATCCTAGTGTCCTTACAGTTATGCCCAATACTTATTTAGCATTCAACCATTGCACACATACAAAATCAGCTATGAACACCAGTATTATTAGCTATAACATAAAACAAGTTAATCTACAGATAAGAAAATTGTTGAGCCTCAACAAACATTCTTGGCCTAGGAATACTGGTTAAATAGTTTATATATACACATATACACTTAGCATATTAATTTCATACTTCAATCATATTTGGCAAACGAAGATAGTCTTTAAATTTTTTTCTGAAAATTCAATTAAAAAATCAAAACTAGATGTTTTCTGAAATATTTCTTTTTTTTGAAATATTACTTCTAAGTAATTGATATTTACTAAAACATTAATATTTCTATTTTTAAAGCTTTCACCATGATGTTCTCTATTTTTTAAGTGTTTACTGAGCCTTACCAATTTCTTTCTTTTTTTTTTTGCAGAACCGGGGATTGAACTCAGGCCCTTGCACTTGCCAGGGAAGTGCTTATTCTACTGAGCCATCTCCCCAGCCCCTAGCTTTACCAATTTCTATAGATTCAAATTACACTCACTTTCCTCAGCTAATAAAATACAGTAAAGGGAGCATATTGAGAAATTTGAGTAAAATGATATTTAATAAACCTTGTGATATTTTTTAAAATTTTAAAATATTTAATTTAGCTCATCTTATACATTACAACTGCAACACTGAGATAATAAAATACATATAATAAAAGGACAGAAATAAACACAATACCCTTTTTAGTTGTTGTTCTTTTAAACTTCTCACTGTCCTTGCAGGCTCAGAAATGAAGTTTTTATAGTTTTCACATATATTGATTCGAGACTGGGCCACTTGCATTGTTCCCTCGAGAAAAGATTTCCAAACAGGATACATACTCCTAAGTTTTAAGAAGGATGGAAAAGTATTAGACAGGATAAAGAAAGAAAATGAATAACTTTTTTTTCACTGTCTAGCACTGACAGAACGAGTATTTTCTGTATAAACATAAATACATTTGAACTGGTTTACAAGGTAACATTTCAGCATTCATAAAAGCACAGAATAGACTCTATTCCTCTATAACTCAGCAATAGTGAATTCTGACTCATTGGCTATTCCTAATAATGGTGTAAAGGGACACAAAGATTATAATGGAGATAAAGCTAACACAAAAACTGTAAAACTTTAACTGTAACAAGGTCATCATCTTGAAAATCAAATTTTATTCATTACAGTATTTTATTTTACAGGTAAAATAAATGAGGTTCACAGAGACTTAGAAAATAATTAGGTCACAAGAATATAGCAGCACCAAGATAAAGATGAAGGGTGAAAATACTAAAGTTCATCTTCTTTCAATTACATTGTCCTGTTATATAAACTGATGTG